TGCGTTGCGTCTGTCCCTCCCCCCTCTATAAACATGGCTGCATAATAAAGTGGCTCAGCAGACAATAGAAGAGATGTGTGAACCTGCACTGCCTGGCACTAAGCTCAAGGAGCAAATCAGTTCTTTATAATAGCAGATACCCTCTTTTTGTGCTTCATTCGTGGATTTTCAGTTCTATATGTGATTTTTGTTATATACTTCAGTTTGCTACTGAAGTTTTTTGTTGTTTTTTTTAATGTTTTTTTTGCAGACTATTCTTAAGCCACTGATCCTTTTGATTGTGTAATTAACCATTTAGTGAAAAGAATGGCTTTAATTAAAACTTTGGTGCGAGGTTGCAGAGAGTCCTTGAGCTGGAGGGTTTAATGGAATTTGCAGGGCACTTGATACAGATGCTTACTTAATTGGCTCTCATTTTCAGGTTCAGTTAGAGGCACTAAGGGCCAGACCACCACATCATAAAAGCCTAAATTTGGTTTTCACAGCACTAGTTGAAGTTTCAGATAGTTTTGTATTTACAATTGCTAGTAAAACAGTTATTTCCAATAGTCCATTTGTCTTTCCTTGCAGTTTTAAAAATTAGTTTCTTATTGAGATATTGTCAAAAAGTTGTAGTTTGATTTTAAATGCCCAGTAAATATGTCTTCAGATTCTTTTAAATCCTGCTTGTGAGTGAATATTTATAAAATGTTTTCTTTTGCTTTTGTTTTTTTTAATCTGAGTTAGAATCTCTAAGAAAAGATACTGGACCTTTTAGAAGAGCTTAATAAACAGTGAATTCCTGTTTATGCAAAGCTGAATTAAAATGTATTATGAATTTATTCAGTAAATTTCATTGCCATTCCCAGTGAACCAGCATATGCTTCACTTTCCTCTTTTAACCTTTTATACTTATACACTTATCCAAGGGACCCCCTCCACCTTCCACACACACACACCTCTTATTTTATTTTTTTCTCCTTGGCTCTCTTTTTCTGTAAACCCCCCCCCCCACACACCTCTTCAAAAGCACTTAACCATCCATCATGGATTAGGAATCTCTCTGAGCAAAATAAAAGACGTGTCTCATTAAATGTATTTATGTTTGTGCAGGGTAGAGGGGAACAGTGTCTGTACTATTTTTCTCACCTCTTACGCACTCAGACAGCCATTTCTGCCGTCTCATTTTTGTCTGTCTACACACACACACACACACACACACACGCACATTACTTCCCTCTCAGGAGAGCATTAATTCTCATTCTCAATTCTGATGTACTTATTAAATACAGATTACACTGAGGGTGGTTACACATTATCCAGTTTGGAAGTGTTATAGAAGAGATGTTTTTTAAGCTTCCCTGCAAGGAAGTTTTGACAGCATGATTTACAAAAAAAAAAAAAAAAGTTTAATAGTTATTGTATATGTGTGAAAGACATTTATTGTCTTAAAGTACCCTTGTTACTACCACAACAAACAGATTGTGTTGTGTGTGTGTTGTGTGTGTGTGTGTGTTGCTAATCAGACAAAAAAAAAAGATTTTCCTTTTTGTAACAGAAATGTGGAGAACTGGAAGCAAAAGATGTATAGTAGAAACTTTGGGCTGGAGTTTGAAAAAGACCAAAGAGAGAAGAAAGAAGGTATAAAGGCAGGTTGAATGAAAGGTTGAGATTCGGAGTGGAAGGATAAGGAAGTGGAAACAAGAACATGGCAAGGAAAAAAGACAGAAACAAGGCATGGGTGAAAAGAGACAGAAAGGCTAGAGATGAGGGATCAAGATGGATAAAGGCCCTGAGGGAGAATAACATAGTGAGCAGTGAAAGACAAGGAGGCATGGAAAAAAGGAATGGCAAGAGAGTGAGTGAGCACTGGGGCTACGAAGTAACCTGCTGGTGGGAAGATGAGGGGAGAAACGGGTGGAAACAGTGGGTAGAACAGAAAGGGAAGGGGGCAGGGCGGCGTGTATTCACCATACCGGTGTACGATTGGCTGAGACAATGTCAGGCGGGCAGCGCTGAATTAAATCAGATGTGCGTCACCAGCTGCAGTTCCAAGCCAACAGCCAACCACATACTGCTGGAAGGGGGAAGGTTCTTCTTATCCCTGTCTCTCTCACAGGCTCCCTCTTTCTCTCTTTCTAAAAACTCAATTGAATTGGATGAAAACAACTATGAAAGTGTCTTTTTGCCTGTATGTGTCAAATACTATGCAAAATATAAAATTCTTACCTTAAATGTGCGTTTGTATGCCTGTGGAATAACACTCTTTGTGTATGGGAAGTGGATGTTTTTTTAATTTATTTTTTTAAAGATCATTATGTTTTGATTTCAAATAAAAATAATACAAATACTTAAAATACTCTCTACAGGAAAAAACATATATTAGTGAGTGGTTGTAATTTGTATTTCTTTCTGATACAGATCAATGCAAATTCCCCTGCTGTTAGTGTGTTTCAGCAGGTAGGCACCCTGAGAGGGCCTCTGTTTTCAGCTGTGCTTTTGGACAAGCTTTTGGCAGCCACAGCGAATACCTCTGCACTCTGATTTATTTTAACCTCCTATGCGGTAATGTTGGCTGGTGTGTGCATGTCACTGTGTGGTTAATTACTACCACTGCAGTATAGGCCTGCTGTAGGAGTAGTTTAGACTCTCATACCAGAGAGACTGAACCCCTAAATATAGCTGCAAGCAACTATGGTCAGAGTGCAATAACCTTCCAGTGTTTGGTGATCTCAGTGGGCAGTTTGACCCCATCTTATCTGAGTGACCTTATAGTACCATCTCACCCCACTGGAGCTCTTCCCTCTCAGACTCTCAGAGTAAAATTTGAAATTGAATCTAATTTAATTTTAAATTGAAGTTGAACATATTCAACCAATTTACACGTGTAGTATTTTGGCAAACAGGATCTTGAATCTTTTTATCACTATAGAAAATGTTTATTAATTACCAATGCAAAAACATGATTGTCAACACACCCAATAAGGTGAGCGTATTGCATTATATTTTATTATAGGTTTATTTGTGTATTTAAATTTATAATGTTTAAATATTGAAAATGTAGGTCTTAAGTGGTTCTCTGCAAATATATTATTTGCTAAGTGACATGTAACTGAGTAATAAAAGCAGTCGCCTCTGTGGATGACCTCCATTTTCACCTTGTTAGACTGCACCTGCAAACTGGTAAGCCTTATTCTGCTCTGCCACCAAAGTGAGCTTTGGTTGGAGCACTGGCCTTCTAGTTCACAGCAAATCTCAGTAGCAGAACAACTACTAGAGTCTGTCCAACCAAGGGACGAGACCCTCTTTGGGCAAAGAGCTGAGTGATATTGGGGAATTCCCCAGCAGTGCCCTGACTAGAGAGAATGCAAAGGTAGGGAAGGACACAGCACATTTTTTAGTTTTAAAGGGACATGCCAGGGTGTTGTCCGTTAGTAAATCAATCACATGGGTTTGTTCTTTGACGAATATAAAAATATAACATTAGTTGCCAAGTATAGATCTCAGATAATGAGTTGCGGCCACAGCTCTGGCCTAATGTAACTAATGAGCAATTTTCTTTTTGTTTTATTTCCTCCTGTTAAATTCTAAATTTTGGAGGTACACCGGATAGTTAAAAGAAAATGTTTGGATGCAAATATTATTGTAAAGTTTTTCTTAGCTTGGTCGCAATATAAGAAGATGAGATCACTCAATTATTTTTAAGTAGATAGGCATTTGCAGCCAGTAATGATAAGAATAAGAAATTCATAACTAATTTAATTAACTAAGTAATAAAGAAAGAGAATGTAAGTAAATACAGATAATAGGATATTTGCAGCTTGGACTAATTAATTTCTATTCCATTTATTTTTCATTCGAACAAACTGGCCATCCTACCTCTACAAATACAAGAACTGTCTTTCTGTCCCTCTCCCACTCCCTTGAGTCAAGGCAGTCTCAGCTGTTGTGTAGAATGGTTGTGTCTATCCAGGGACTATAGAAAATAACATCATCAACTATTCATCATGTATTTTCCCTTGGACCAAAAAACTGTAATTCACAGCAGCTATTGAGTTACAAGCTATTGATGTCAGTATGAAAGCAAATATTTCTGTGCAGCAGGAAATTGTGAGGTAGAGTACTTATACATGCTACAGCCACAGACTCACACCCACAAGCTGCTCAGTTCCCATGACGATAAAGAAGTGTGTAATCTTACAGCACCCTGTAGAGAAAACTTTAGCAAAGCCAATCTGTTTGGTTGCTGACTATCCAAGTCCTACTAATAATAACACCTTTCAGGCTAACACTCGATTAGATGGCTGGCTGGTCAGTGTAACCACAGGGAAAGGTTCAGACTGAGGCCAAACCAGCAGGGAAGGGAAACGTGTGTAAGTGTGCGTGTCTGTGCTGGGAAAGGAAGAGCTAGAGAGGCGAGTTTAATTAGGAGAAAAGGAGGTATCTCGTCGTGTTTGTGTGTTGGTGTTCTTTCAGCAGAAAAAAATCTGACCTTTTCATAGATTGCATCTGGGTCAGTAACATATGCTCAACAACAGGCTACATGAGGCAGTTAACTTCAGGTGATAGTTCACAGGAGAAGTGCAGAGAAAAGGTTAGATTGCTCACTACCTGGATAGTACCATAAATAAAATGAAATACACTGAATTTACAGAAACTGCATGAACATCTATTTTTAGTAAACTGTCTTTAAAGCTTTTTTCATCAGACTTCAAGTGTCATTAATTGTAGTTAAGACCATTAAATATGCTAAGATATAATTTGATAAGATGACAAGTTTAATGTGCTGGCATGCTGTGGGCTATACATATGGCTCTGTTAAAAAGGTTGACAGCTCTCTTATAAAAAAAGAATAGCTCTATATTTTCAGCCTTTTTCAGTGTTGGTGCTGCCCAGACAAATAAATATCTTCTGCTCTGTGTAGTATTAATAGTGACTTAACCCCGACATTAATACCTTGCTACCTGCATCTGTCTTTCTGTGTGTGAATGCTTGTGTGCCCATGTATTGTATCTGTCCAGTGCCAGAGCCTGCTCCCACTAAGCCCAGTCCCGGCCCATCCCACCACCCCGCCAGCCCCACGCTGCCCCTCTCCTCCTCCTCCTCTTCTTCTGGCAATGGCAAGCGCGCCTCCTGCAGTAGCCAGCTCCTGACTCAGACTCCCCCTCAGCAACAGTGCCAGTTGTCCTCTGCCAGTGCTCGCTACCCACCCAGAGAGGTGCCCCCGCGCTTCCGTCAGCAGGAGCACAAGCAGCTACTGAAGAGAGGCCAGCCACTGCCAGCAGGAGCCCTCAGCACTCTCACTCTCTCCTCCTCTTGCTCCTCTTCCTCCTCTTCACCCTCAGCATCTTACTCTTCTTCTACGAGTACCAGCAGCACTACCACAAACTCTACCACGTCCACTGCGAGCAAACACCACCAAGGTTTGTGTCAGTCCAGTAAAAAACATTGCGGCCAAATGGCTTTCTCATATAAATATATATATATTTTTTAGTGGTTGCTTTAGGGTGATGTTGTGACTTTTGTCCTTGTTAGATGTGCATTTTAGTGAGTTTAAATAATACAATACATATAAATGATATACAAAAACCCTCCTAAAGCATTCAGGAACCATTATCCATCTTGGGATGGATTATGAGAGAGAGATGTTTGCATTTGTAGATGTAACTTCATTTCAAACTTTGCATCCTTTTTTCTTCTTAGAGATGCATAAGAAAAGCAGTACTGGCAATACAGTAAAAACAGTGATTATAATTGCACTTTCTCTGTCAGCAAATGTAATGACAAGACTCGCCACCTGAAATTTTGTGGGTAGACTGACCATATTAAAACGGGCCTCGGACTTTTTTAGTTGATTGCTGCTTTTTTCCCCATTTCCCTTTGTGGCTATTCTGAAGTAATGAGGTTCTGGTACTTGGATGCATGTTTTCAAAGCATGTCTGTGTTTTCTACGTGTATTAGTGTGAATAATGATACTTATAACAGTGACAATTATGTCTTTTTTTTTTTTTTTTTTGTAATCAAAGGCCATCTCGGATATTTTAGTGTTTGAAGAACTTGGTTAAGTGGTTTTAGCCTTGTGCACTGTTTTTAAAATCACCAGCGGTAGGCTTTTAACGAACTCTTTGTTGGCCCTGAAGTTCACTAATGTTGAACCTGCCTTGAGGGGCTCATTATACAGTGTTTTGTGTGTATTTGTAAGCAAGTCATGTGTTCTTAAATCATGGCCATTTATATCAATATTACAACTATATTTCTCTGGTTTTGGACATGAGCATTTTTCATACAGTCACTTTTTATTTTTCTTCTATTTATTAAAGGAATCTTAACCATCTGTTTAATGTACACAGATGCAAAAGTGAGGGTACTTCTCATCCTCCAACGTAACAAGCCGTAGCTTTGAAGACACAGATGTGAGGCTACCTCTGTAGAACACCACACATTGTTTGAGCAGGATCTAGCACGAGCATCTGCTTGCATCTTTGTTGAGCTTCTTCTCCTGTCTCTTTTTTTTCCACTCTAGCTTTTGATCATGCTGCTCTGTGCTGCTTTTCATTATTGTCTCTAAATTTGCTGTGCGAACACGGATTACTCAGTAAACAAATCTGCAGCTGCTGCGGTGTATGGTTAGCTAGCCAGGAGGCTACAGTCCTCAGCATTACAGTCAGCTGGTCTTTCTATGCTCTGCTGCTGCTGCTGCTGTTGTTGTTGTAGTCAAGTCTGTGCCACCAGTCACAGCATCAAACAAAGGCTTTAAGCCTATGCAGCCACCCAGTGCCAGAAATTGTGCTTTTCAGTCTATTTAGTCAATTTACTATGTTTGGATGTTATTTTTCACTATGTAGCCATTTGATGTTGTTTCACAAATAGTGTTATTCGTTTTTTTTAACTTATTTTTTAATGTATTGTTTTTAAAAATATAATAATAGAGCTAATTAATTAAAAAAAAAAAAGAAAATAAGAAGATCAAAAAATAATTCTAATATTATGACATCATATAAAAACACAGAGTCTATATAAAATGGATTCATTTTAATATTGTCTAAAGAATTTTCAGAAAATTCACAGGAAGTAAATTCAAGGCAACTGCATCACTGTATTTTTTTAAATTCAGTAAATATATTAAATTGGTGGCAAAAATTCAACAGATTCAATCTGTTGGCACAAATTTCTTTTTTATTACATTGGTAATAATGTTTTTTTCTCTATGCACAGCTATTTACTGCAGTGTTTCTTTGGCTGTGGGCCAAGAAAAAATTTAGCTGCAGGCGTAACTCTCTTAAGAGAAACATTAAGTCAGAACCTTCAGATTTGAAAGCATATGTTTCTTCTTTGAGCTCTGGACACGTTAGGATGCCCTGGCTGAGTGTGTTACGTTGTAATGCTGTATTATTGTCCTAGTCCAGCACTTGTTGTCCTAATTGGCCTTTACCTACCTCTGGTTTCCCTTGGAGTCTCTCTGTACAACAGCCTGTGACAGAAGTAGCCATTGGCTGGGTTTTCACCTCCTTTTCCACTCATGTCCTTGTCCTGAGGGCATCCAGTCCACAACATGTTCTTTCCTGTCTGCACAGCCAATAGCCTGAAGCCAGTAACCAGTTGTTGCAGTGCGTCTGCGATACATAACTTAGGGATTGGACACTGAAGTTAAGTCTACAATGCAGAGCAATTATTTAAGTCTGTGGCTTCTTTCATTTCAAACATGACTTTTGCTGCAGAAAATCTGAAAAACTTCTCACCTAAAAATGTAAACCCAGCAAATGTATGTTTGCTGGATTTACAAGTTAATACTGGACTGTGATAGATTTAATGAAGTTTTTCCTGATCATAAATACATCTTCTTTTTTTTTTTTTAAGTCAAAATGCTTATATCTCAAAGACAATGTCTGCAAATATAGAGGTAAAGTTTCATTTCATTTTGCAAGTTACAGATGAACTTTGTTCTGAGGACAGTGTTTCTATTTTGTTTTCGAGGACAGTGTTTCTGACCTCTGGTGAGGTTACTGAGGCCCTAAGGGTGGCAGTGATGTGATGGTTCACTTTTGTAGTTGCACACATGCAAACACTAACACATGTATATAGATATAATGAATGTGCAGCAGAGAGAGTACTCTAGTCTGACCTAGTTGTGTCCCCTCAGATATGCGTCTCCCTTGCAATCTGCCTCACACTTTAAAGAGGAGTGTACTCACACTGTAGTTTTAGTTAGTAGAAGTACACTGTAAAGATGTTAAATTTATTTCTTTGACACATTTTTGATCACTCCACATTTGGCTTGGAAAGTCAAATTTAATTATTGTAGAATCTATATGAATTCTGTGTAAATCTGTAACGCTTGAGATTCCAACAGGCTATCCAAGCACCCCATCCCCAGTGTCTAAAATGCAGTCTGCTCTTGACACACCACCCTCCCACACAACGTCTTTTCTCAACCCATTCAATTGTCCCACCAGACAGAGACCCCCTGTCCCATTTCCATCCCCCTGTCACACCCACCATTCCCATCTCTCCAGCTGACTGGGGACCATTTAAGTAGTCCGGAGCATCCAGCAGCCAGACAGACTCCCCAGTAGCAGGTGCTGGAATGGGGTCTCTTAAGACTGTGGGAACTGTAGCCCAACAGCTGTTTGCCGGTCACCCAGACAGCACGCGTAGCCAGAAGGCACTCTGCTGGGTGCGGTTTAAAACACTTGGCCCTTTCATAATGCTTCCTTTGATTTTTAGGTAAATTAGCTTAGATTTTGAATACATCTTAAGTAAACTGTTTGGTGTTGCTTTATTTAAAAAACAAAACACGTTTAGAACACTTGCGCATTTTTACATTCTTTAGATATAATCTTATAAAAATGTTGTTTACCTCTTCTGACATCATCAAAAAAATAAATCTCAGTTATTTCTACGTTTTTTTTTTTAAATCAAATGAAAAGATCACTTGGCCCCAAAGAAGCCACGGAGGTATAGATTGGTCCATATGCTCAAGCTGTGACACACACATAGGCACACACAAGTGAGAGAACCCCCTAGTGGCTTCATTAATGCAGCCTCTCTCAGGGAAACCAGAGAAGTCACTATGGTCTCGCTCTTCTATTTTCTCTCTTCTCTCAGCAGAGGTAAACAGACATGAATGATGAGCTTTTTAAACCCCACGGAGACCGTCCCCTCTGTTTTTCTTTTTCTCTATGCTTCCGGAAAAACATGTGCATGCCGTCCTCTATGTGAGTGGGCGTAAAGTTCTCCTCAAAGAGAGATGGAGAGGGTCAGTATGGTGACAAAAGACTAGTAAAGGTTCCCTCCTCCTTTGATTCTGGGTTTATGTCATCCCATAATTTTAACCGAGAAGCCGAGCTGCCTCTGTTGCTCACACTCAAGCTAAAAGAATCACTTTGTCGCTACAGTTATTCTCATTCTGTTCATGCTTTCTCTTTCGCTGTCTCCCTTTCTTTTCCCTCACCACTGTATGTGCCGACCTCTCCCCACCCCCACAGACTGTCTTCCATCTCTCTCTACCGCACTCTTCTTCTTTCTTTCTGTCACCCAGCCCTTTATTTCATTCAAATGGGGAAGAAAGGCATTTAATTCTTGGCTTATTGCCCATTTCCATGATGGCAGCTAGTGTCATTAGCAGGAATTCACCTCTTGCTTATTTGTGCTTCAACTCCGGCTGGTATCACACAGCTCCACTGCAGTGTTGATGCTGCTTGTCCGTGTTTTGTAGTAAGCACTGTCGGTGTACCTACATTAGGATGTTTTTATTATTAAACTGATGTCCACCATTTCTGTAGTTCAGTGCAGGTGAGAATAAGCTAGACTCCACATACACGCATACAAAAAGGCTGTCTTTCTGTCCGTTTGAAACGTGAAGAGCTACAGAGATGCTACTTTTTTTTCCTTTCCGTTTTTGACCCTTTTCATTCACAAGGCATAATCATAGGCTGCCCTCCTAATTGCAACCAGAATGAAAGCAACACATTACTGACATATGATTGCAAATGGTAGATGGAAATAATTCTCCCCTTGCCTTTGTTTTTCATATTCAGCTTGCTTTCATGCCCTTCCCGCAAATCAATGATTTGCCAAGAATCAGCAGTACCTTTTTCTGGAATGCTTGGAAAGGGAGTTGAAAGGGGAACAATGGAGGCACATTAAGGTGAAAAGAAAGGAAGGCTGTTTTGCATTAGTCCACTCGTACATGTTGGCAAAGATGCACCAACATTAAAACCTTTACAGTGTAATGCAACCCTGTAATCCTGTTGTAAACACTCCTTTTGTGGAGCTAATAATGGTCCGGTTTTGTTGAGGTAGATGTCCACATGTGCTGCCTCTGCAAAAGGATTTTTTTTTTTTTTTTTTTGCTTCACCGACTAACCTGTTGCAGATGTACTAAGATGATGTCTGCTGTTTCTTATTCTTGCGTGGATCTGTGTAAGCACTCTTAAGACTAAGGCTGCTATACTTCTCCTCAGGTATTTTTCCATTCTCTCACTCTCTGACCTCCTTTCTTTTATCATGTGCATGAGAGTCACCTTTTCTTTCATATTTTTTTATGTGTGTGGTTTGGGGGGGCTTGTTCAAAATTAGCTTTGTACATTTCCTCTGTGACAAAGGTGTTGAGTGTGATAAAGGAGGACTGCTTTGCAGAGTTTACATTAGTCAAGTAATCTTTTATTTTCAAATTGTGCGAATGAAGGAGGAAGATATGCTGGGTGGTAAGGAACTGACTGAACAAAATAGTTTTACTTTGACTGCCCTCCCCTGAGCTTCTCTGATAGGGTCCACAGAGTGATAAAGTAGTGCTCCTATTTGCTTGGAAATCAACCACGTACAGTTGGACAAAGAGAAAACAGTAAATCAGTGGGCTTTTCTGATCAGGATTTGTTTTCCTACTGACTAGTAGTAAAAAGTTGTTTTGAACAATTTAATATAAGGCCAATTACTTTTGCAGTCTAGATCAGTTTAAACTAGGAGTGCACAATAAACTTTCCTAAGGGGCCAGAAGAGAAACTGAGTATGTTGTGGAGGGCTGCATCAGTAAGCTAAACTCAGTTCTGCTCAGTAGCTCTGGGTTTTGAAAAGTCCTATACAAATAAAGTTGTTATTATTATTAATGTTATGTTTTTATAAGCTGGTGTAGCTCTCACTACCAGTTTCTGAGTTTTGACCCCAAACTTTTTTCTTATATCAAGTAGGGCTGGGCGATATGGCCTAAAATCCATATCACTGTATAATTTGAAGCATGTGCGGTAATATGATATATATCGCGATATATTCCTTTCTTCTGTATTAAGTATTTTACACACTATAGGGACATTTAAAATCCTTTAATTTTCTCAAAAATCGACAGTGTGCCTTATGTACGAATTCTGGTTGTGCTTACTGACCTCAAACTGATTTTATGTGGTTCACGCCACTCAAAAATCTGTCAAAAATGTTTTAGTACGACTTTGGTAAGCTATGAAAGCGCACAGCTTGATGGATTGTCGGAGCATTATGGCTGCCGTAGTCAGGAGCCTTGCGGAGTAATCTGGTTCCTAAACTCCGTCTGGTTCAGGTCCCAAAGTCACACGATCACTACGGCATCACTGAGAGTTAAAACTGTCTAAATTATTTCATCTTTAATAAAATGATCAGCGTTTCTGCTTTACCAAGTGTAACAATTAAGTTTAACATCTCGGCATCCATGAAAATCGAATTTATTACATTTAACGGAGTTAGAAGTTAGCAGGAAGTTAGCGGCAGTTAGCTCGCTAGTTTCGCTAGTTACCTAAATATGATATAGCATGTTCTGACTGAGAGATTTCTGAAAAAAATTAAAACGTACTGCTCTGCTACTAATTCCAACATTAATGAAGACAGAAAACTAAACAGCAGTGATGTTTGTAGGGTTACTGGAGTTGGGCTAGCTGGTATATAATGATGTGCTACGTGATCGCTAGCAAAACAGCTATGTTAGCATAACAGCTACATTAGCATAACATTAGCACAGTGAAGTTGAAGGATGGCCGCTAACTTTTTTTTCACTCAATAAAAGTTAACGTGAGGGTTTCTGGTGGTTAGGGACCAATGCAATTGCATGGCAGGATGCTGTAAACGGACCAAACTTCAGTCAGGAGAACAACTGAGATAATCCATCCACAATACGAGGTTAGTCATTAATATACTGCAACAACATGGGAATAGAGCAGTTGTTAGGGAATTCAGCATGAATTGATTGATAACATTGATTCATTCAGCAATGAATCAATGTTACGGAAGCGCAGTTTTTGGCTTTCCCCTATATTCCAAAAGTGCTTTGTCTCTGCTATTACTGTCGCCCAGCATAATTTGCAGATGATGTTGTTTGCAGCCACTGCAATGCTGTCGACCAAAATAGGTGCAGCTTGATGACACCATCAACATGCGCTACCGTTGGCCAAATTTCTATCATTTCTACCGTATACCGTTCACACCGCCCACCCCTAATACCAAGCTGTTGTCAGAAGTCAGAAAATCCATGGCAAGTGTAATTTAAAAACTTTCTGATGATAGGCACACATGGCTTTTTTTCCAGCATCTTTTAAATGAACGTAAAAAGAAAAGTACACTTACAGCAAATATGGGGATTACTTTTGTTGTGATGTTTCATTAGTTATTTCTGTTTTCAGCTGATTGCAAACTGACTGTAGATTAATGTTGGTGTGCATGTGTGTGTCATCAGTCTGATGACCCTGAACGATAAGGCTGCCTGGGAAGTGGAGATAAGTGAAAATGTAATTCACAGCCTCTGTGGCACGTTCAAAGTATCTAAAAGTCATACATCTGCCAGAATATGTGTCTTTGTCTTCACACCTCAAATAAATGGACTTTTCCTTCTATATCTTGTGCTGTGTAACGTCTTGTTAGGATGGCAACAATTTGATAGGATCTTCTTTCCTGTCTTAAGGTTCTATCTTAAGCTATACAGTTTTACTTTAGAAACACATTACATTTAGTGTGGACTTTAGAAAAAACAAACTCCGATGTCTAGTTTTCATGTACAAATGTTTATTATTATCAATTATTAATAAGGTTAGTTGGTCTGCGCAATGGTGATATTCGTAGCTCCTACTTCTCATTAGCTTTTCTGCCATTTGCCTGAAGCTACCCTATTGGTTAGAGTGTTTGGATGCTGGATCAATAGCCTCTCTGCTCTCACCCACTAACATTAATAAGATTATTGATTAGCTGCCTCCCACAGATTGATTACCCCTTTGCAGCATCAACCCAGTCTATTATTAGTTCACCATTTGATGGTGGCTGCTTTTGTGCCTAACGAATCTGCTTGTGCGTGATTCCATCTTGATCAGAGTTGTAAAAAGCTGCGATTTGGTAGCTTGGTGAGGGATTTGTAGATCATAGATCATAAGTAGAAGGACAAAATCTATGGACAATCCCTCATTTTCAGTTTTGTCATACAGATAATTCCTAGATATACAGAATCGCATGTGCAGTATTATGTATATGCAGGTAGTGAGAAGCAAATAGACACACACTTATTCACACAAGCTTGGAGGAACTGTTATGTGGTTTCTTATTGCAGTGCAGTTGAAGGAGGAGTAGGCCCAGTAAAGCGTAAGGAGTGATGGATGAGACTCTGTCCTGGTTTCATTCCAATAAATGAACGGCGTTCCACTTGGGCTTCCCTTCACAGTCCCAGCCAGTGAAGCCACGATGGAGACGGATGGGTCTCTCGCTGCCGGGTGTTGGAGGAGTGCAGAAGGGAGAGAGGGACAGGGTGAAGAAAGTGGTGGGGGGAAAAATGGAGGAGGGAGACATGAGTATAATAGGACATAGGTGAGAGATGGGATAATAATAAATAAATGACTTTAGAGAGTGAAAAGGGAGTAAATCAGTAACCTCTGTTTAAGAAATGGAAGTTAAGTAAAAACTGGGGAGAAAAAGAGAAGGAAAGAACGATGTAAAAAGAAAGCAAAGGCTCCATCTCAGTGTTTCTGTTTGGCTGACTGCACCAGAGCAAGGATATATGGATATCCTGAAGCTGATATGACAAGAAGCACGCTTGGCTGTGCATTCTGATTATGTTTTAAATCCTGAAACATGCAAGCCTGACCATCTCATCCTGCCAAGTCTGATAGCTAGCGTTAACTAACCAAGAAGATAAAATTGGTTCAGGAAGCTAACTGTAGCCTGGTTGTGAACTTGCATTACATGATTCTCCTTACTCTAAACTTATGAATTTCTTTTCTTTCTCCCCTCCTCC